ATACCCCAGATGGAGCGGCAGAAGCCACAGCAGTGTACTTTCTGGGCAGGTGAGGGAGCTGGCAGGGTTGGTTTCTGGTGAGTCTCATTTCCTGGCTTGCACATGGTCTTCTTCTTTTTTTTTTTTGGCGGAACCGGGGATTGAACTCAAGCCCTTGCGCTTGCCAGGGAAGCGCTTATTCTACTGAGCCGTCTCCCCGGCCCTTTGCACATGGTCTTCTGTGCCATTTCTGTGTGTGTGTGTGTGTGTGTGTGTGTGTGTGTGTGCATGTGTGCACGTGTGTGTACGTGTGTGTACGTGTGTGTGTGTACACTCTGTACTCTTACTGTCTTTTCCTTTTGTTATAAGGACACCACTCTTGTTAGATCAGAGCCCTGCCCGGTCGACCTCACTGAATCAGAATTACCTTTCTCGAAGTCCTCTTTCCAAACGCAGTCCCGTTGAAGTGTAGCCCTTTCCCTATGAACTTTAGCATAGGAGCGCACACACGTGGATCCTCGGGAGGGCTCGCAAGGGGTGGAGCTGCTGCTTCTACCTCAGGCGTGTCCTCAGCATTGGTAAATGACAGCAGACGTTTCTCTGTTCCAATTCATTCTTGCGATGGAGTGCAGGATTCCTGTTACTTCAGGCGCTGGCTGTTCCTTGATATGCCACTCATTTTTAAGTCCTTCCCCCATGTCTCAGCAATGAGATGACAGCACTTCCAGCTAAGACCTTTTCCCTCCTGAGTGTCCAATTGGTGTTTTTTTTTTTTTTTTTTTGTGGAACCGGCTGAGTGTCCAGTTGGATGGTCTTCTCTGTGAAGTAACTGTTAAAGGCTTTTGTCCATTTTTCTTTTTTTTTATGTATTTGGTGCAGGGTCTCACTACACAGCTCAGACTCACAGTGGTGCTCCTGTTCGCAGCCTCTCCAGTGCTGGGTTTACAGTCGTGTGCCATCTTGCCCCGTCTCTCTCAGTCTCTGTTGCCTGCTTGGCCAACTGGCACAGCATGTGGTGCTGGGTATCGAACCCCAG